CATGCATTCAGCAAAGTGTCTTCGTAAGAAAATCCAGTGAAAATAGTGTTTCAATTTGGGTTGCCAAAAATAGTCTGGCATGCCGAAGCCGTCATTTCCCCTAATGAAAGTACACTAAATTTACAAGAAAAAAGTGCTCAAGTATTTTTTTTTTCTAAGTTGCACTGTTTTCGAGATGTAGCGGTTTGAAAGTAGATATTTTTGAAACGTTGGTAGCTTTATAAAATACTTTCTGTAATTTTGCTTTTATTTTTCCCACAAATAACTCCGAAAATTTATAGTTGACCGCCTTTTTTAAAAATGCGTTCAATTTCGTTTTTGTTGAATATTAACAACCGGGAATTGTTTAAGATTTTAACCGGTAAAACCGAGAATTTCAAAATGAAAATTCACTGGCCACCCTGAGTTCGCATTCTATACCGTACCAGCGTATTGGATGACCACATTTGATAGTCATTTGTCCAACCGTCGGTGGAGGTAACCTATTTCGGCCGTCTTGACTGCCGTGACGTCTAATGTGGAAAAACTCTGTTGGTGTGAGGCCTCAATAGAAACTGTTATGGACGAAACCACTAGCCGCTGGGAGCCTAAGTATTACTACAGGGATGACCTTAGAAGATTTTATAAGTGAATTTTCGGAAATTTGCTAGTCGATCCAGGGTTTCAGCGCAGGAAGGGTTGACTTTCGAAGCAAGTTTAATGGTTTTGACAAAACATATTACGAGTTTTCAAGATACCAAGCTTTCATGATGGTCCTGATGAACATTGATGGGTACGCTGACTTTAAAATTTGATGTCGAGCCGTTATAAATTTCCACAACCTTTCTGTAGAATAGAGGGAACTCAAATTTCTAGAAAATTTGTAATTTGCCCTTTTTATTGAATGTTTTGATTTAGTTACTAATATTTAGGTATAGAAGTCTTCCAAAGATATTTCTGGGTCATTTAAACTTGTCACCTTCTTCAGTTTTCCAATGAGTTCTAAATTCTCAGAACTATAATTGAACTCGTCTTATACTTTCGTGCTTTATTGTAAATGTTGCCATTTTTATCCAAAACTAAATGATTTTTTTTTACCGTGCGTATTTTTCCTACAACTTTGTCGAAGACCTTATTCCGATTGGAAGTGACGTTTTCGAGTTATGATTTGTTGAAAAATCTCGAATACGCCATTTTCATATTTTCTGCGACATAAAAAATGGCCGAGTTTTTGCAAAAAATATGAATGATTGACCATAACCAGGGTTGAAAAATACCATTTGCAATGAAAGATCTCAAGCGATTTTTACCAACATATTTCTGATACAATCACTAGGTAGATGAGAAAACGATGATAGAGATTTTCTTCAAAAACTCACATTTTTTTTTGTCATGACAGAACGTAACAGTGCAGTGTTACATTGAACATTACTAGTTTATTTTTTGATATTATATTATACATATCATCATTATATTATACAATTCAAAGTATCACAGGAATTTTAAAAATATGTTCACTTTACCGATTGCACACTGTTGCTTGCCTAAATTAAACGAAATCAGTTAGAAATGTTAATGTCAAAATCATATGAGAATTTGTTTCACGTGTCTCTACGCACACAAGAAAGATCATGATAGATAATTTTGTCTCGTGATAGGGGAAACGCTCCTATAGTTGCGGTACGTTAGAAGCGTTAGGTTCCTATAGTTGTGCATGGAGACTCAATACACAACTATAGGAACCAAACGCTTCTAACGTACCGCAACTATAGGAGCGTTTACCCTAGTGAGAGGACCTGTTTTATCATTCATCAAATTTCCTTTCCTCTCCCTAATCATCCTGCATTCAGGCGTGACCGGTGTCGGTATTGTAAAGAATATATTTGAGATCACCAACCATCATTTGTACGTTGAGGTTCTCTGTGAATTTACAGCTGATCTTTGCAATAACAAACGGGCAGTCAATCACCGACAAACCGATTTGAAACTTAAACTTAACTCTTGATCGAGAATCTATAACGGCCGATTCAAATGTACAGCGATCCCATCTATCAAAAGCATAGAAATGTGTTATCTAGATAAAGATAATTTGTCCGAAATAGATTAGACACGAACCAACTCATAAATTTTGTACGCGTGGCTAAGATGAATATTTTCCGCGAACCCGGCGGCAGGTGTCAGTTTTGTGCTTTGATCAGATTTTTTTTTGTAATTTGTATGATCATTCATGTCGGTTTGTCGGTGAGTCAATCATTCTCATGCTCATGATCGAATTATGTAATTTGAAAGGGTTTTTGACGTAGGACTACGTCTTTCGGGAAGATGGGGGTACAATTTATGAAAAGCGAAAAATGAAATTATGAAAGATTTTGAACGTTAATAACTTAGCTGCCCCTGGACCAATTTCGATTATTTTATCACCAATCGATCAGAAACATTTCTACGCATCGATAACAATGCTTTTGACTGTTGATTTTCAACAAAAAACTATTTAAAAAGTGGTAAATGTCAAGCATTGTCCAAAAGCTTCTAAATAACTAACAAATCCACAAATAACATACATGCATGTGCTGCTTCCCCAACACAGTCATCAGAGAATGATTCCTAGATGAAACAAGTCGAAGTGACATTCGCCTCCGATCTTCGGGCGTGTACGAATAGGGAGGATGCAATTGCGGAACATTTTGTTGCCAATTCAGAACCACACACCCCCAACGACCACGCAAAATGCTGTTTTTTCCTTGGATTTGTTTTCCGTGCTGAGCACCAATGCTACCCACACCCATGCTTGGCATACACAGTTTTGGTCACGAACTGCTCATTTGCTAATAACTTTGCACACAGTTGACGCAACATAGTTCTTTTTGAAGCAATAGATAGAATAGAGTGTAAGCTTGTAATAGATATGTAAAATAAAGTAGATTTCAATGCTAATAGTTAACTGTATTTGTTTTAGCGTTGTAAAAATGAGGTGAGAAATGCTCACTACACATCTCGGAATTTAAGTGTTAAATTGATTAGTGTTGATTCAAATGTTAAGCTTTGCCTAATCTTCGCATATCTATAGTAAACTATGAGTCTAATCTATCAATTACTTTAAAGAAAAATAAATTTCAACATCTGAGTGAAAAGTTATTACCAAATGAGCAGTTGGTGTGTACAACTATGCATGCCCACACGGACCCTGCCTATCGACCCATCAACTCATGAACCGGGAACCCCGAAGGAAGGCGTGATCAGAGATGTTATACCTCTGAACTTCCCGGCAGTATTGACTGGGATTGAACCCAGGCCTGCTGGGACGCTTACCACTACACCACGGGCGCCGCTGCTCTCTAGAGTTGTAATCTTGTAACCAAACTTGGAAGCAGGGGATACTCTATATAAATTCTACTCTAACTCTTTTTTAAATGAACTTGGTGGCCCTGAAAAGGGCCGTTTTGTTACATTGGTGATAAGTTTTAACCTCCGAAACCGTACGTTCCGAATCTACGCTTTAGGCTTAGTTTCGATTCACCCGTTCAACGTTAAACAAGCATCAAGTAAGCAAAGGGAAGCAAAGGCATGGAAAAGGAGGCGCCAAGCGTCATCGGAAGGTTCTGCGTGAAAACATCCAGGGTGTTCCCAAGCCTGCCATCCGTCGTCTGGCTCGACGTGGTTGTGTCAAGCGTCTCCGGTCTGAGGAAACCCAAGATGTGCTGAAGGTGTTCCTAGAAAATATGCGTGATGCCGTCACCTACACTGAACACGCCAAGCGCAAACCCGTCACGGCCATGGATGTCGTCTACGCTCTGAAGCAACTGTACGGTTTCGGAGGTTAAAACTTATCACCAACGTAACAAAACGGCCCTTTTCAGGGCCACCAAGTTCATTTCAGTAAAGAGTTAGAATAGAATTTATGTAGAGTAGCCCATGATTCACCCATTCAATTTGTCACTAAATACATCAAAATGATTCAAAAATCAAATAATTTGTTAGGGAAATAAATTATGTTTAAATTTTTAACTGAGAAACCCTCATCGTATGCATTCTCCTGCTGCGCGACATCTTCGAAAACGTCCGAACCGTAAAAAATTTCTTAGTCCTATGTCAACAATGCGGTTGTGTCTTGTACACCACCCTCCAACTTTTTTTCCTATCCTAGGTTTCGTTAAAGACCTACACTCCGGATCATAAATTTTACCCTTTAAAAACTGGTTAATATATTTTACAATTTTTGTGTACTAAAACTTATTCTATAGTTACAACATCTTCTAAAATTCGCACTGAATATTCACGACTGATTTTTTTTTTTGAATTATTAAAAAAGATACGTTTCTGAAAGTTTGGTTGACAATTTTGGAATATGCCTGGACCATTTTTTGGATCAAAATGTCAAATGAACGATCATTAAATCTAGTTTTTAGGAAAAATATAACTACGGACATTGATAGTGGTTTTCCATTGAAAAACATTGATTGTAATCAATGTTCATGATGTTCATGGTCGCGGGACCAAAGGCACTAATGCATGTTATTATATTTTTTTTAAATTTTGACTTTTCAGAGATGTATGCCTTTTCATTTCTGGGCTACAATTTTTCAAAAATATTGTAACATTTAAATGTTGTAGCGGTGCCGGTGGTGATTGCCTCTATTCCCAAAAGGCCTGGTTTCAGACTGATTCGGCGCCGCCGAGATTTTCGGAGGCATAAAATCTCTGATCCACGGAAATAAAGCCGTTGGTCCCCGGTCTATGAGTTGATGGGTCGATAGGTAAGGTCCAGGGTGCTTCCTGGCGTCGGTAGCATTGGTACTCAGTATGAAAACAAATCAAGGAAAAAAATGTTTAGAAATTGAGTAAAAACCATTTTTGTTCTTACGATTTTCGATATCTTTTCCCAATATTTTTAGGAAAAATCAAAACGTTTTTTTAAAGTGATAAGCTTCCCATTAAACACATCCTTTCCAGATGACATTGCCCAAAACAGTTGATGAACATTCCACTAACCAATTTCCCTTCCTGCCCTCTTATCATTGCAGCTGTTCGAGCCGATCGGATGCGTGGTGGAAGGAACAAGTTCGGACCCATGTACAAACGCGATCGGGCGCGAAAGCTTCAAATCATGCGACAGCGACAGTTGGCCATCCAAGCCTTGCGGGGGTCTATCGGTGGCGGCGTCGGCATCGGTCAGCTCGGTTCGGACGGTGCCTCGGCGCAACTGCAGGGCATCGACTACCACCAGCCGTACTCCAACATGCACATCAAGCAGGAAATCCAAATACCGCAGGTTTGTTGTTCGCGTTGAGCCGAAAGTGCCGACGGGTCGAACCTGGTCGTCGCGACGTTCCTAGAAAGCTACGATTTAATCGATTCTATCTTTTTTTCTTCTTCTTTTCCATTTCGCGAAATTTTCGTTACCCCCCGTCGCAATTGTGTGTGACAACATCGATGACCTGTGCGTGTGTGTGGACTCTAAACTCTGGGCTTGTGGTTTCTATCTTGGGGAAACGGAACAATGGACGCCATCCGACGCTTCATCGTCTTTGCCAACGACAAAATCCTCGCTCGTGGATGCTGCTTCTTCTGCTTCTTCTTCTTGTGTGTGCCGTATTTCTTTCGTCCCAACAGGTGTCCTCGTTGACGTCCTCACCCGATAGCTCACCTAGTCCGATCGCCATTGCGTTAGGTCAAGTAAACCCGCAGACGACGATATCGCTGAGCAGTGGCGTTGGAGGCAACGGCAGCAGTGGAGGTGGCGGTGGTGGCGGAGGTGGAGGCAGCAACAACAGTTCCGGTGCGGGCACCGGTGGTTCCAACTCGACGTCCTCGGCAATCCAGAACCAGCTCTCGGAAGCCAAGCTATGGATGAGCGCCAACTCGACGACCGCCTCGCCACATTCGCTAAGTCCCAAAGCGTTCAGCTTCGACAGTGGAACGAATCCCACCAGTACGGCCGATTCGGGCAATCCAGCGGACACGTTAAGGCTAGTCTTTACAGTCATTTTTCCTTTGCACTCCCCTAGACAGTTACGAAGATCCCAATGCCCTGCAGTCTGCACTGGCCTCGGGCTTCATTTAATAGTATATTTCTCTTGTTGTTTTCTCTATTCTTTTATCTATTTTCGCTCATATAAAACATACACACACCCATTTGCCATATTCCAACCACCAACCCTCGATCCCTGGAAAATCGAAATTGTCTTTCGGATACTTTTTTCATTGCTTTTCTATTTTCCAAATCATTTTTCAACCAAATTCGATCAACAACAAAAAACAAAATTGTGTACTTGAACCCCTGTATGTCTTCGTGGTTCGACCATATCTAGGGTTTCGCCGATGATTCGCGATTTCGTACAATCGATCGACGATCGGGAGTGGCAGACGTCGCTGTTTTCGCTGTTGCAGAGCCAATCCTACAATCAGTGTGAAGTGGATCTCTTTGAGCTGATGTGCAAAGTATTAGACCAAAATCTGTTTTCCCAGGTGGACTGGGCGCGGAATACGATATTCTTTAAGGATTTGAAGGTAAGTCACACTAGTCTAGTCTCCCTATACCGTACGTTTACAAGCATTTCTGCCTTACGGTGCAAATCTTAATGTTCAAAAATTACCCCAGTCAAAACACGATCTGCGGTCGTCGTTTCATTTTTATCTTTATTACGTGTGTAACATGACCACCACTCGACTCCTCGCACTGAAAACAACAACAAAATCCTCGGCTCAGAAAAACCGAAAACCATAAAATTACAAATTGCACTGACCAACAAAGCAACCCGCTACCGGACCAAAGTTCTCAGCGACTACCATCGAGTTAACACGGGCCGCGCTCTCGCTTCCACACACACACAGCACACTGTGCGCCGCCATCAGAATGAATGAATGAATGAGGGGGAAAATAAAAAAAAATGCATTGCCCAGACCACTCTCAATTTCAATTGCTGACCTACTTGCCAAGTTGAGTCGAACGCTAAGACCCCCCTCTCCTCTCTCCCCTCCTTCTCTCCTTGTGTGGTGTATTTGGGAATGCAATCTACTCGCGCACCACTGCACTGCGCTGACGTTGAATGCTCTTGACTTAAACCGCGAACAGAACCGAAAGTGGACATAAAAATCGCAATCGCCCCCCCAGCAGCGTTGCCAGATATACCGAGTTATCGGTATTTCTACCGGTTAACAGATAAGCATCTGTAAGATTATGAAGTTTAACACCAGCGTCACATTTTACAGAGTGACAAGTGAACCAGGAAAACTGGGAAAATGTCACGATTTCATTTTCACCAGGAAAATCCGGAAAAAAAAGTAAGGGGTTGTATCCAAGACACGACCGTAGATTTGTCGTAGGATTACGTGCTCGATATCAATATTTGGCGCCTGTGTAAAGCAAACCCCACACACATCAATATATTGACGCGAAGGGGAATTATTGACAATAATATTGATGATGTGAATTCAGAAATATTGTCAATCTCGATACATTGACGTCAATATAGAATGTATTGACAATACGATTATTTTCAATACAAGCAATCGTGTAGGGTCCACATAAGAGAAACCACTTTTTCCCATCACGGAAACGCCTCATTTTCTGATGACAATGTTACGCATTTTCATGCACAAAACGCACAGAATTTTTGGTTTATTAAATAAATAAGAGAAAAAGCGAAAATCGATAGGAGGAATTTCTTGCCAAAATTTTCTCATCGTGAGATTTTGGCCAACCATCATATAAATTTGTGATTTTTTACTTTTATCAACCATCACAATTCCACCCATAATGTTGATCACCATTGTAACCGTTGGACATTTGTCTAATTTTCATTGGGGACCTATTGAAAATCTATAGAGTGTTCATTTTAGAAGATTCGTAGAAAAAATTCCAATCGATTGGCTTGTTTAGAATCAAAATCCATCCGCTATTGACAGAGTAATAAGTGGTGAAAACCTGACTACTTTTCGTAACGCGGTCGATTTTGGTTTTTTGAAATTGCACCCTCCAATATGTTGCCGATAGACGTAATCCTACGTCAAAAAGTTGGGAATCTGATAAATCCACCAGGAAAATAATCCTTGTTTCTATGATTTAAATAGCATCTGAATTTCACTTCGGTGAGAATGATAAAAGTTTTGACAAAACGTAGGGAGTCGTTTATTTTAATAATCAAGATAGCGGTCGCTTAGTAGAGCGAATCAATCATTTTTTCGTTTTTAGCTATATTTTAGCAAATTAAGATTAATCCAAACGGAGGGAGTCTAAGCCAAAAACTATTTCTCCCTGATTATATGTATAAATCGTTAAGTCTTCAATCTATCCTTTTCGAGTTTGCACTCGGTGAGAACGTTTTTCATATTCTTTCAGTTTCTCACCTGTCATCTTCTTAGTAGAATTAACACTTGTTCAACTATCGTTTAGCTTGCAACCATGGCTATTTCGTTTCTCGCTTGAGTGAATGATCTTACCACTAATTGACTCATTCAAAGTCAGTAAAAATGCTCTTTCTTGCAAAACACAATCGTATGCGATTGTTTTCACAAATTTTGTAGAAACAGTTAAAAATTAATGCTTTAAAAGAGTAAATGTCGTATTACTTTCTGAATCTGCTTAAGTGCCCTTAGTGGTCCATAAATGCCCTCATTGTGACTCTAATTTATAAGTACTTTAGAACTTCAAAATTGGCTACACGTCGAACTTTTAAAAATGTATACATAAATACTTTTATACAAAATCAACCAAAATTAAGAGAGTTCAATATATTTCAGTGGTTTTACAAACTTAACTCTCAGAGTACCAAGGGTGAAAACTGCGTGTCGATGCTGTGACACAACACGGCTGTCCTGTTGCCTAGAATGGACCTTGCTCACAACATCGACACGCAGTTTGCAGCCTTGATAAACTGAGAGTTAATAGTCCAACGTTGTTTGTGAAATCTTCTAAATTTATATGTTTTTAAAATCATGTTGTGATCAAAATTATGCCTTAATAAGATCTTTTTGGTTATAACATGGCAAAATCGGAATTATAGTTAATAAAAAATTATGGAAAATTTAAACGAGTTTACAAATGCCTTGAGAGCCCCATTTCAATCACACTTTCAGAACTGTTACAGCAGTCACGGATTCCGTGAATTCCGCGGATTCCACGATTTTCGCGTATTTGTCGCGGATTTGAACTTTAAGAAGAATTAAATGATGTCGCAAAAATTGCGAAGGGACTGATGTGATATCACAAAAATTGCGGAATTCATTTTAACATTTGCGACCCGTATTATTTTGCTGTCATCAATTTTGTTGTTCATTTGGCTCTTGTTTTCTCAATTTTTACCGATTCAAAACAAACACCTTGCAAATAATCGATAAATTATCATAGTTCCATAAGCCACACCGGATTTACAAGGAAATTCCGTGTAGTTTGTCCAATGTGAGACATTTTCAAGATTTTTTTTTATTTCGAATATGAACATAGCATTTTTTGTTCTCAAATCATAAACAAATCTGTTGTATGCGACTAATTGGCATGTATACCTGTCAATTCTATACTTTCATCTCCTCATCTATCCTATAAAAATTACCACTATAGTCTGTTATTTGAAATTAGCATCATCAACTATGTAAATCGTTGACTTCACGCAGAAGTAATACTAAACATATAGTCAAAGTACATAACTCTGGATGGGAGCATACCATCAATTACTGCCATTGGTTGAAAAGTACAGTAGCAGCACCTACCCTACCCGTGCCCTCGAGATCGTCAAGTCGACGATGACAGGAGCACATACCGTGGTAGAGGTAACAATAGCTGCAATTTCCAAACCTACGACTGGATGCCTTCCTTCAGATAACAACTTGAGTGGTAAAAATCGATAGAACTGTTTCAAACACATCGTCGGTACATGAGTGAGTCGGCGATCATCTCTTTTTGCCAGTGGTAATGGGGGAAAATACCCCTCACCATCCCTCTCCAAGATGGGAGTTTGGTAAAGAGAGATGATCAAACCGATTTGTACCTTCCTAAAGTTGTCCTTGCCCGCTTTCTACTTTCAATTTTCACACTGCCGAACTCTAACGGAAATATCAATTCTATAAAAACTACCACTTTAGTCTGTTATTTGAAATTAACATCTTCAACTATGTATACCAGATATTCTAGGTTCTCCAAATTGTCCTGGAGTTCAGTTGATTTGTTAGACTGTAATAATGTTTGTAGTATCGAAATACGTCCAAACAGATTCATGCTGATCAGATTATTTGTTCTACTAGATCACCCAAGCTTATTCAATATCTGTAGTATTGAAATAGGGTAAATGGCTCTAATATTTTATCTAGATGAACGCGTCGTTGGGACGGTACTAATGGATATGTTTGGCCGTCATTGAAAATTTAGTCGACTTATTCCGTGTATTCCAGATATTCTGGGATTTAAAATTGGTTATTTCGATGCTACAGGTATTATCCTAGTCTTTGTTGATCTAATAGAACATACCTATCATCTGAACTGCAGAACGATTTGGAGAACCTAAAAAATCTTGTATGCATGGAAATAAATCGTACATTATCCACATAGACACTATGAATTTATGAATATTTCGATACTACAGGCATTATCCCAGTCATGCTTGATCTAGCAGAACAAATCAACTGATTTCCAAGACGATTTTTAGATCCTAGAACATTTAGTAGGCATGGCAATACAAACTACGAAAAAGACATGTAAATTTCAGTGCTCTGAGAGCGACACATGCAAGCGGCCCTTTTGACATAATAATCAGTTGAAAAGGACGAGAAAATCAATTCAATCAAACGCACTTTTCGTCGAGTTGCATATGTTTCAGTTTCAGGACACTTAATTTTACATGCCATGTTTGTTTACGTCCCATGATTTACGGCAAAGCTAAATTACGTCTCGTGTAAAAATAATAATTTCTAAGGTCACGCCTGATCCACTTTGTCACTGTGAATATGTCTGGAAGTACTTCGATACTACAGACATTGTCCCAGTCTCGGTTGATCTAATAGATCAAATTATCTGAGCTCCACTACGATTTGGAGAACCTAGAACATCTGGAATACTCGGAAATAGGTCATGCATCATCCACATCTGAATCTGATTAGACATATTTCGATACTACAGACATTATTTCAGTCTTGTTTGATTTAGTAGAACAAATCAACTGATGTCCTGGACGATTTGGAGAACCTAGAATTTCTGATATATATGGTAGCAACTTTGCATCAATAACTGCGATATTTACTGAACTATGACCACGAATCTCTGGCTTTACTGTGGTGTGATGTCCAAACGTTCCATCACAGTTTTTTTTTTTTTTTTTTTACGCATTAATTCAGATAGCAAAAAGCTCTTGTCATTCCATTTCTTTTGCTATTAACATTAGCATTAGCATCGAACAATTTGCACAATATCGTTGGTGGTATGAATTCAAAACTATTAAGAGCAAGATGGATATCTATTACTGGACAGATAGTAAGTAGGAAATAATTACTATCTCCCAGATAAAGACATATCCACCTCT